CCCCAGCCACTGCTGGAGTCCAGATACATCTGATCTGGGGGCTTTGGTTTCAGCCCAGGGTGTTCGAGGGCTCACATCGCTGGTGTCTCGTGCATGGCACAGAGTCAAGGCAGCTCCGGTGCCTCGGGTGTCACTGGAGCTGCCCTGGGAGACAGGGGAGGAGGCAACAAAGATTTACACGGGCAGCAGTCCTGGCCCTCAGCTGTTTGCAGCCATAAACGTGTGCGTGAGAAATTGCCGTGGCCGTGCCTTGCCGTGCTATTCCGCTCCTTGATGAGGAGGTGTGTGCTGGAGGGGGGGCCCTAGAAGAGTCTCCCCCGAGAAGCTGCTGGTTCTGCTGGGAGAGGATCAGGGATGTGTGGATGATGGTGAGCGTGGGTAGTTGATGCTGGTACGGTGTCTGTCCTGCTGGTGGTGGGATGGGCACTCCATGGGGGCTGGCAGCCAGTGGATGCTTGATGTGCTTAGACTTCTGGTTCTCCTCCCTCCCTACTGGGGAGAGGGGACCCATGAGGATGTAAACGATTTTCCAGCTGTTTGTGGCAAGGACTGGTGTCCCAGTTGGCTGCCCGTGAGGTGCTGCAAGCCGGACTGGGGAAGAGGTGACAGCGGTCCCAGCCAAGGGCGGCTGCAGCTCCTGCTCTGTGCCAGAGTCCAGCAGCCAGCTGAGACCCTGGCTGCAAGAGGGCAACAGTCCTCCCTCCAGTGCCCAGAGTTGAAAACATCCTGTGGAAATAAACTCAAAGTCTTGCTGCTGTTTTTCCCAGCCCCTCTGGCCTCAGACTGGAGGGACCCTGGAGCTAGATGTTTTGGCTCAGGCCCCTCTTGTGGCCGTAGCCCCTTGCCAGCCTGCTTCCTGGCAGTGTGTCTGTCCATCATGGCCCAGGGAGGATGGAGCAAGATGACGGCGGTTGGAAATATTTCACAAGTGGCAGAAACCCATAACGGGCAGACCAGTCCGACGGGGGAAAGTTACTTCACTTCTCCTGGGGTGCTGGAGGCCACCAGCCTTCCGGTGATGGGGCTGTGGCTTCTCGGGCAGAGCTGGCTCCTGCCCGGGGCTTGGCTTCAGGCTGTGCTTTGCAGCTGACATCGCACACGGCCACCTGTTTGCCCGTCCAGGGCACCAGGACTGTCACACTGCTGTTGTGTGATTCCCTTCAGGGTGACAGCAGGAACTGGAGAGCAGTCCCTGGGCACAAGCAGAGGCTTTGCGGATGCCATGTGGTGTGTTCGAGCCACTGGTTTGGAAAACCAGACTGGGGGAGTAAATTCCTTGTGAAGTAGTGTCTTTGCATTGCTCCCACTTGCTGTCCATGACCCTTCATGGGTGCCTGAGAGACCTGTCACCTCTGCACTGGATTGGTAGCCAGCACGGAGGGCAGCACAGGGATGATGTGAAGGAGTGGGCTGGTCACCTGCAGCCAGGCTGGGATGGAGCAACATTCCCAGTGCTGGCACATGTGCTTGTCACATCAGGCATGTAGGCTGGATTGTCTGCTGGAGCCGTGACCCTGGGAGAGATGCATTCTGCTCCAGTCTGTCCCCCTCCTGCCCTGCTTTTTCACAACCCAGGCTTGGCTGACTCATCTGACTGGGGCTGAATTTCAGGCCTGGAGACTTGGGGGGCCGAGGTGGAGAGAGCCCACAGGTTAAAAGCTCTGGTTGACTGGTGGCACACGGCAGCCTGCTCCACTGCTGGCACATCCACCTCTGCCAGGGGATGTTTTCTGGTGGCTCCCTCCTCCCAGGGAGCTTTGGGCAAACCCCAAGAGAGCTGAGCATGTGAGGCCTGTTGCCCTCCCGCTTCCTCCGGCGCAGCCTCTGGCCTCCAGACGTTTGATGTGCGGTTCCTGCGGTAGCTGGTATCTCATCTCCCCATCGGTCACATCCCCTCTCGGTGGTGAGTCACCCAGTCATACCTCTTCCCCCTGTGCAGTTTTGGAGAGCTGAGCAAATATGATGTTTTCAACTGGGCCAACACATCTGCACCCGCCAAGTTCCTCTCATAACAGCCCTTAGTGATTTATGTCTCAGTCGTGCAAGGCAGGTATGTTTTATCATTTTGGAGCTGGGTAGGAGGGGATGGGTGTGCATCTCCCCTCCATGCCCATCCACTACACCCACTGGCACATCCCGAGGGCAGCCAAGCAGGGACATGCATTTTGGCTGCCTGCTCTCACCTACATGCAAAGTTATGATGGCTTGAGGGATGATCTCTGTGCCCCTTAAACCCTTTTACCCTCTGAGCTGGGCTCCTTGGGATCACGTGTACCCATGCTGGCAAAGCTCCTGCGTGGGATTGGTGTTGATGGTGTCTTTCAATGGTGGCCACAGGCCATTCTAATTGGGTGTGGCGTGGCTTGGCCGGGAAGGGAGGCACAGTGGGTCTGGCAGTGCTGCTGACTGGCACCTCCCTGCCCGTGCCAAGGTGCCAGCCTGCCCCTGGGCGAGCAGTCGGCTGCAGGAGCGTGGCTCAGCATGCTGAGACCTGTCGGCGTGTCCCTGGGCAAAGAGGATCTTCTGCTGGTTCAAGCAAACGCCCTGGCCCCGGGCAGATGGAGATGGTTGTGGTTTCCCCCCTTTCCCCTCCCTTTCTCCTGGCAGAAGCCCATGGTTGGGGTGAGCTGTGCGTTGCTCACTGCGGTAGAGTTTCTCCCCTTGGCATCGCTTTCTGGCACGGAGATCCAAGGAGGGAGCGACTTGCCCACGGCTGCCTCCTTCAAGTGCAGCTACTTAGTGCGTGGAGGAGCAGCCTGGTCCTGCTCAGGGGAGAGGGGCAGCAGGTTTTGGGCTGTGTGTGAGTCTTAAGCCAGTCCAGCGTTCTGCTGGAGTGCTGTATGGAGGAAGGGATGCTCTGTCAGTGCCTCAGGGTTGCATTTGCATTGGGTTTATCCCCAGGAAGGCTGTGGCTCGGATCCCTCCTCCCTGCCCAGCTCTGGTTCCTGGCAGGGAATGGGCCAGGTAAATACAGCCTGGGCAACTTCTCCCTCTGGGTTCTTAGGAAGGGGAAACAGTGCTGGTAAACTGGAGGCTGGAGTTTGAGCGGCTCTCTGGTTTTCCTGCTGGTCTGCTGGATGATGCAGGTGGGTCCTTGCACCTGTCTGTGCCTCAGTTTCCCCTCCTGCAAAGCTTTGGGATGTGCCTTGAGCCCCCTTGTTGGAATTACACCTCTCCCAGGAGCAGCGCTGCTGCTGTGGCTCATAGGAGGTGCTGGGAAAGGCTGCCCGGTGTGAGGTGCTAGACTGGTGGCATCAGCTTGGTTCTGTAGCCAGGGTGGTGACATTATTCCAAGTGGTCCTCAACCTGTCTCCATGAACGTGTCCCCTACTCAGACTACATGTGAAACTGCCTGTCTCTCTGCAGTAGCTAGAAAACCTCTGTGACAGCTCATCTCATGGCAAGATACTTGTCCCCTTGTTCTTTCAGCTGACCTCCCCATATCTTCTCCAACCCTGGGCTGAGGCTGGATCCCAGCAGTGGGATGTGATGATGCTGATTTTGGAGAAAGCCCCAGAGGTTTTGGAGCTGGGGCTGACTCTGTGTTATCCTTGTCTTGGGTAAGACACTGCAGGCAGGGAGCTGCCCCAGGAGGACCAGGAATATAACCAGTACCAAAGTGCCTCATTGGGTACCAATAGCTTAAGCTGTGTACAGGATGCCCTGTGCTGGGTGTCAGAGTTGGACCATGTCCCCTTCCTGGAGCTTTGCAGGTAGCTTCCTGTCCTTGCAGTGTATGGAGGATGCCAGGGGCATCTGCACACAGCTGTGTCTGCAGCGTGGGATCTGCCTCGCTGTGATCGCCGTTCCGGCGCTCTCTCCTGCTGGAGCGGCTGCAGCCGGCATCGAGGTCTGGCTGGGAGAAGGGGCTCGTGGCAACGTGTGGGGCTGGGGGAGGTGCAGCTCGGGGTGTTCCAGGGGGTTTGTCATGCCGAAACCATGTGCTCTGCCAGATGGGACTCGAGTTCCCTTGGAAATGTGTCGCTGCTCCGGACGC